GCGCTAGAGGAGTTATCTTCCGAGAGTATACACACTCTTCGTGAACGGCAGTTCACAGGTCCCCTCTTTAGTTAAAGAGAGCGAAGTGACCTAAATAAGGTAGATTGTAAACTGAGTATATTTATAGGTAGGTTAGTTTGGGTTTAATACAAACTATTAGTTACCTATAGAAATGCAATGTCATTTAGCCAATGGTTGGCTTTGAACGACCTTGGTACCTTGTACCAAATATCCCGGAGTATGACGCGTCATACTCCTGAAGTGTGAAGTGTCACACTTCATGTAACCAGGGTACACTTAGGGCTACGTACCCCGTTACATCCTCCCCCACTTAGGTTCGGTTTACCGACCAATCGGAATGAAGAGGTGTTCGTCACAAACTCTCATTATCAAAGTCGAAAATCATCGACTTGGCCGCGCGAGCGCGGCGGAGGCTCACTTCACAGTTAGAGCCTTGAGCAGCAACCTGTGCGCTCTTCGTCTAGGTCTCCACTTCGACCGTTATCATGCCTCGTAGCACTGCAAAGAGCGGTGCTAAGACACGCTCCAAGGCTGCTGCCGGTAAGGCACAAGCCAAGAGCACTAAGCTCACGGCAAAGGCTCTGCACTCAAGGAGGCTACTCAGGTGGCCTCCGAGGCGATTGGTTCCTCGGGTGACGCGGCTGTGAACAAGCGCGCAAGCAAGCGCCGCAGCCCGTCGCCTTCATCTTCAGACAACCGTCCAAACCCTCGGTTCGTGGAATATGAGTTCAACTGGGGCAGTGAGGACGATGCCGAGTCCGAGAGCACTCACGATGCTCCTGCGGACTCTGTGGGAGGGCACAGCCCAGTGCCCAGTGAGCACAAAGATGACAGCGTGCAGTCGCTCGCTAGTGATCAAGGTGATCACAGTCCCAGGACCTCTGTGCGCTCTGAGAGTCCGGCCGTCAAGGCTAAGGGCGCTCCCAAAGCCGATGGCGATGAGGAAGAGAATCCTCGCAAACGTCTCTCGCTTGCCAAGGGTCTTGCGCGTGCTAAGGCCTCTAAAGCCGAAGGCGCCAAGTCCTCAAAGAAGCGTACCGCCTCTAAGTCTCCACTCCGCGAGGAGAAGGAGACTCGTCGCTCCTATCGGAGTATCTTCGACTCCTCGGATGAAGAGGAGGAGAAGGAGGAAGAAGAGGAAGAGGAGGGTGCTATCGTCGAGCCCCGGGAGGTCTCGAATGACCTCGACCTGCAGCAGGAGGAGTTCCAAGGTGCCCAGCGTGTGCGTGGGGGTTCGGAGGCGGCACCCGTCAGCCAGGAAGCTGCCATCAACTCAAGAGGGTATTGGCCTCCCGAGGAGAGCTCTGGGGCTGACCTCTTCTTAGAGCTTATCGTCGCTCCTCGTGGCCTTGTGGGCGGCCACACCTCTGGGGGCATCTATGAACGAGCCCTTGTTCAGAAAGAACAGTTGTTCGTTGACAACTTGGAGGCTGCTCGGTGTGTGCTTCTCGCGCCACACCGCATTCCCCTTAAGTACTTCACGACTTGTCGTAACAAGCCCGAGACCCGGTGTGGTCTCTATCCTCTTTGGGGATACCCCTGGGTTATGCCGTAGAACTGTCCCACGTGGCATTCTTGTGAGGACATGTTCTGGGCATGGGTGGAGACTCTTAAGTACTCACCCACGGAGTTATGGAACTCCATGAAGATCAGCTGCTGTCCCGCATCCTGGACCAGCGTGATCTTCGTGTGAGGTTTGCCCACTTGATCAGCAAGCGTATGCTGCCAAGGGACCTTCTGAAGCGCGCGGCTTCTAGCGCTCACGATGAGCGCGGGTACGGAATGTATTCATCGTCCGTACCCCGTTCGGGCAAGAAGCCCCGGACTACTTATGAAGCTGCCGCCGCTTCTGCTCCCAGATTGCGACAGCCTTCGGGCAGTCAATCAGGAGCCGTTCAATCGGCTCCCACGAGTTCTCGGAGTGGACATAACCCTTCCACTTCACGAGGAGCTGTCGCTTACCGCGACGCCGTTGCTCCTGGAGGATCCGCTCCACGTGGAAGTGGACTTCTTTATTCCGGTCAAGCAGGGGCGGAGGTGCCCTCGTACGAGTAAGAGTACTCGGCGCCTCCCGAGAGCCACTCTCGTCCGAGTGCTCCGACTGCGGGTCCGACACAGGACCCTGAGGTTGACCGCATCCGTCAACGTGTCCTCGTGCTTGAGATTGCACTTGGCCTTGGGACTGGCGGTAATGCTGCCGCCCAGGCCGGGAATCAGGGCGAGCTCGCTCGCCTTGCGGGCCGCCTGGACCTGGTGGAACGAGAGGTCGCGAGCCTGCACCTGCGGGTGGATCGCCGGGCCTCTTCGTCCGATCTGGACGAGGCCTTTCGCATGATCCGACGGATCGAGGCTTTGTTGCCACGTCCGGAGCCGCCTGCGGCACACTCCCAGACGTACGCGTATGGTACGTACCCGGCGTACTCCGCGTACTCGGCATATGGCGCCGGGGTCCGTTTGTATGCAGCCCCTCCGGCGTACGGTCTTGACCACATCCTTGCCGTCCCGACCGAGGCTTGGGTGCCTGCTCCGACGTCCTCGTCGACGACTGTGACCGGCCCTCGCTTTAAGGGCCTGGGTCAAGGGGGGTCTGCGAGTCAGCAACCCCCTGCGGGTCAAAGTACCGCTTAAGACGTCCGACATAGAACGTCGGGTGCGTCGTCATTGACTTTGGAAGGTCGATGGTGTACGATGCACCATGTCTGGCCAGGACTGCAAAAGGTCCGATGAAGCGGTGCTTCAGCTTGTCGCTGCCGACAGAGCTGACAGTGTCAAGAGGTAGGTTCCTCGTGTCTAGCAACACTAAGTCCCCAACCTCAAATATACTTAAGTTTCCTCTTCCATGTTTGTCTGAGTACTCCTTTTGTTTATCTTGGGCCGCTGCCATGGTATCGCGGACCCTGCTGACAATGTTCAGCTTGGTATCCATAAAAGATTCCACCTGTTTCCGCAGCGAAACTGGTCTTACATCCGAGACCTGGGAGGAAAGGGCTTTCCGAGCCTCTCCCCCTGAAGAACGGCATATCATGCTCGACCTTCACGCTCCCGAAATTACAATGGAGATACTACAGGGACAACATGGCTACCATCCCTCGAGCAGTGGGGATCTCGATATGATTGAGAAGGGCAGAACGAACGACGGCTCAATCTGCCTGTTGGCTCTTTCTGCGCTATCAGGGCGTGCTGATTACAATCTAGCCACTGGGGGATTAACGGCAAACGTGGACCTAGAGGGCATTCACGTTCGGGACTCGCGCGTGAGCTCAAAGATTTCAGCCTCGTATCGAGACGTTGTTGTGTTTGAGAGATACAAGGAAGGATTGCCGAAAGCTATTAAAATCCAGTTTGGACGCGAAAGTTTCGACGTAGATCTATCGACGATAGGCTTCGATCCAGCCTTTGCTCTCCTGCAAATGGAC